TGGAAAGAGGGGAAGTCTCCTCTTCTTCTTCTTCGTGGGCCTTCCCCCCACCTCCACCCCCAACCCCCCCCCTCAGAAACCGAAATCATCGCAAAATATGAAACACCTCGGATTTGGGCCCTTCAGGCAGGGTGCAGAACCGTTGTCAGGTCAAAAAAAAAATAAAAAAAATTATGATTTTTCCTCATGCCCTGCTGACCTGGGCGTTGGCCCTGCCCGGACGTCATGCCCGGCCGGGCGTGACAAGCCGGGTGTGGAAATCTTCCTAGCCCCCCTCGGCAGCATTGACTTTTTTGCTCCTGATATAGGAGGCAGGACTATTAGCGAGTGTGGTGACGCAAGTTACTGCGTACAGGCCGCATAGGGCAGATGTGAAGGCATGATCAAACATGGGATAGAAGTCGCACGTTGGAGACACGAGAAGGAGAAAGTGAAGTAGCGCACACAGCAAGCCGTGGAGATAGATACGCGTAAATAGGCGGCACTTCAAAATATATCCTGGCATCAAGTTATTTATACCTGAGAGCAAAGATCCTTGCAGAATGATTGTATTCTGTTCATGTATTGACCTCGTCGGACAGTTTCTGGATTCGAACTATGGTCTGTGTTTCGGACAGTTTCTGGATTCGAACTATGGTCTGTGTTTCGGACAGTTTCTGGATTCGAACTATGGTCTGTGTTTCGAGTTGTGTAGAACAGATTATTATTTTCTTATAGCAGTTAAAGAAAAATGTAATGAATGCTGATGCGCTGTATGGATTGAATTGGGTGCAGGCAATCGAGTCTAGTCTCGAGTCTAGTCTCTAAGCATACTCGACTTCTTTTTACTCGAGTCTAGTCTCTAAGCATACTCACACTAAGACTTCTTTGGATGTACGGGACCGCTTTTCCAACTGCGTCTGGATGCACCCGACTCCAATTGCGTCCACAGAAGTGGAAAAAGTCCTTGTTGATCTGGGCATACTCACACTACGACTCTTCTGGATGAACGGGACCACTTTTCCAGCCTGGCCTGGATGCACCGGACTCCAATTGCGTCCACAGAGAAGTGGAAAAAGTTCCTCTCATCAAGTATGCTTTTTTGTTCTGTCCTAAAATTTGACCCTTTTCTTGCGCAGGGGCCATGCTAATTTTAATGGATGTCTCGAAGGACGATTAGTTGGTCTTGCCGATGATCTCGGAAGTGGAATCAGGTGCTTGGCAGTTGAATCGAATAGCAGTTGATTAGGTGGTCTTGCCCATGTTCTCAGGGTATACTCACACTAGCATTTTTTATCGGATGTGATTGTGGTCATATTCATCCAGGTCGGGCTGTAATGGAGGCCAGATGCATTCTGTGAGTATGCTCTCAGAAGTGGCGGCAAGAGCATTAGGTGGTCTGTCCCATGTTCTCAGGGCATACTTACTCTAGCACTTTTTTTTTCTGGACGTAATTGTGGTCATATTCATCCAGGTCTGTCCGTAATAGAGGCCAGATGCATTCTGTGAGGAATGCCATCAGAAGTGGAGGCAAGTTGAGTAGGTGGTCTTTCCTGTATGCCATCAGAAGTGGAGGCAAGTTGAGTAGGTGGTTTTTCCTGTGCTCAGGGCAGACTCACACTAGCACTTTTTTCTGTATGTGATTGTGGTCATATTCATCCAGATCTGGCCGTAACTGAGGCCAGATGCATCCTGTGAGTAATGCCCTCGGAAGTGGAATCAGGTCCTTGCCGATGTCACCCCCTTTTGGATGAGTCTGTGGATCACCCCTGGGATCGTGATGACGATCACCAACATGAGGAGGACGATAGTGAGGGCTAGCGAAAAATGCAAAATGTAAATGAATGTTCCGCTATAATCCCAGAAAAACGCACTGACCAACCGGTGCAGGCGACCAACCGGTGCAGGTAAGCCTTCCTTTCCCTGTTCCTCACCTCCTCTCTTGCGTGTGTTTTATTTCTCTTCCCCGCTTATGCTTGAGCCGATTCACCCGCATGTGTAGCTGCTCACCAATTTGCAACAAAAGAGTGGATCTTCCACTGGAGTTCCAATACACCTACTGAACGTGATCCCCACGATGGAGATGGCGACCACGAATAGCAGCACGATCCCCAAGGAGCACCAATGCAATGAGGCTGAACGGAGAGCACGACTGCAAGGTCGGTCGTGGCGAAGAACACAATTGCACCACGATGATGATTGTCAGGACGACCCTGACGGCGAGCATCAGGATCA